ATCCCCTGGAATATGGAAAAAGACAGACACTTGCCAGGCACACTGGCGCGCCGCACACGGGTAATAGGCCTAATAGGGTCAGGCCTGCATTTAATAAACAATTACCCATCTATAATAGATGAGTCCAGCTCCTAAGGCACCATCGAGATGAGGAGGGGGAGCAGGAAAGAGAGAGTAGGTGAAAGAGAGGGAAGGTGAATGAATAATGCAAACGAGATGCCCATCAGAGCACCTAAAAACGCGACACCAATTATCTCCCTCTGCTAACGATGATCATCTTGATGCCCCCCTCTTCTGCCCCCCGAACGCCGAATTCTGACATTTACCCAGCTGCTCTTCCGCTGCCACACGAATCCGCACAACACGAGGAAACGGGAAGGCGAAGATGAAAGCTGTGCCGCCCACACGTTGTACGCCGATTGAGGTTTTTTTTTGTCTGGTTTCATTTTGTGTTGAAGAGGTGGCAGAAGGACTTCCTGGGGAAAAGAGGAAAAAAAAAAACACTTGAAGTTTTCCAGATTTCATCCCACTACAGGCAAAAACTTTCACATATTGTGTTTGGCTATTACGTGAAGGACATGGTGGAGGTGGCATTATGCTTTTGTTTAACAGGGGTTGATGGGAATGTGAATGGAGCTGAAAGAACGCTGAGCCAGAGATGCAACGGAACGGTTTAGATCAAAGTATAGTCATGTGTTAAAATGGTCCAGTCAAAGTCTGGGCCTAAATCAGAGAGGTTGAAAATTGCCGTTTTAGATGCTTTCTGTCCTGAGTGAGCTTGATGTGTTTAGAAAAAAATATCTCTCTCTAGAGGTACAAAGCTGGTAGAGACATGTTCCAACAGACTTAAATATGAGATTTTTATTATGAGAAACACAAAAAAGAAAACTTTCAGTCATTTTTTGAGTATTTTCTGTTGGTTCTTAATTGCCAAAAATAAAAATCAAAGTTCATGATTTTAACGTGACAAAATAGCGAAATAATTCTGCTAGATATTCAAAATTACAAGGCACTTGAGCACCTTTTTTTTTTTTTTTTCTTTTTCCCAGCAGCATCCTCTTTGCTCCAAGGTTACCCAAATTACACAAGGTTAAAGTGGTGCTAAAGAGGTAGCGCCGGCGGTGGTGGTGGGGGTTAGGGGTGGGGACAGTTGGGTCGCCAGTTCAATTAGCATACAACCCTGACGTAGCAAGGGAATTATTGGCAGCACAAGAGGTAAGATAGCCAAGCAAAGCGCCTGCTGCTCCCTGCTGCATTTGAATAGGCAGAATGAGATGGAGGGAGTAAAAGGGGAAAAAAAGAAAAATGAGGAGACCTTGTTTCCTTGGCCCCTGCAGATCAGAGGAATTGGACCTGTGGTCCTCAAGCAGGCTGCTAGTGAAGTGGATAGGGGTCTGGCAGCTTCCACCATATAGGCTACTGGGAAAAAAAAAAATACACACCCGCCTTTACCTCCCCAAGGACCGAAGTCTGTGGTAATAATGGGATCAGAGCCATGACCCTCCCAGGACAACGTACCGCTGTTGGATATTCTATTAGTTTGCCCTGCAGTGAAAAGAAGACTGCGCTCGGTTTCTCTGAATCACATTTGTTTTACTTTTATGTGGCTTTAACAGCAACTAATCAAAGAATTTAAAGTTTCCAAGAGGAGACTTTGTTAGAGCGCGTTGAGCATCAAGGAGATCTTCAAATCACATCTAATGTTCTTTCTTCTTGCAAGGATACTATGCACCATTAACACGTGTTAACAAAAAAGCAAGACCCATAATTGTTCCATTTTCTCCCCCTATTAATCCCAAGTCTGGGAGATACAGCAGAGATCGCATTAGCATTCCCATCCTTTATGTGACTCCAGCTTTCAGGCCCGGCATCTCATCTTGCCTTTACATGATATCAAGCTGTATTAAAACTACATATGGCTTTCGCCGTCTACGCAGAGTGAATTTACATTTTCCTGATGAAGTGCTTTCAGTTTTTTTTTTTTTTTTTTGTTCTTTTTCCCTTTACCGTCCCCTTGTCCTTCCCTTCACCTCCAGCCCACAGCCCACTCTGATTTAAAACACACACAACCGTACCGCTGTTTTACTGCAAAATAACACAAAGCGCGGACTGAGACACCTTTCGGTCGCCTCCAGCTTCCCATCTGTTGCACATCTGGAAGTGGAGTGCGGCACCAAGTAATTGGAAGTCAATTTGTTTGAAGTTATGTCTTTGGCATCTGGCTCGATTCATAAAAACCCTGGAAATGGCATTAATTTTATAGCGTCCCTCTTTGTTTCTCCCGCGTTCAGACGGCAACGCACGCAGGGCCCTTGCTCTCGGCTGAGTGACGTGGGAGTATTTTTCAGAGCCGGTCAGGGTGTGGTCCCCAATAAAAGCGGCAATGGGGCCCCCCGAAGAATCATGGAAAGGATTACCACAGCGCACCGGCAGAGAAAATATTGATAAGTTCCCCAAGCATTAAATGGAATTCCTCTGACTTTGGCGAAGTTTTATAACTTCACCTTTAACTTTGACCGTGGCTTCAGATCGTTTCTTATTTTTCCTGAAGGGAAAGCTCATCCCGGGCCTAGTTTGCCACATTTCCAGCAGACGGGCTGACTGATTGAGAAGCAGCATGGTGTTGTTTGTCACACAGCTCTGAGTCACAGCTGAAAATAGAAATGACACTTGATGTTTGGTGCCTCTCTGCCGGCTGTCATATTGTTATTCCCACTCAAATTTCACCTAATTTGTGCACAAGTCTTGTCACAGTCCAGATCCTGATAAGGGCTTTTAGGTGTTTTTTTTTTTTTTTTTTTTTTATTATATATATATTCCCCCACCGCTCATCCTCGTATATGTGGCAATGAAGTGCAATGAGACACACACGCGCACACGAACACAAACCTTGTGCATGCATTTGTGCGTGCGCGCATGCGAGCGTCTGCAGATTCTGCTTGCATGTGCACTTTCGTGTTTGCACACAAGCGCATTTGATTAGGCTTGTTTGTGTTCGGGAATTGCAGGGGCACCATGCGTTCGCGCGTCAATGTGTGTGTGTGCGTGTGTTTCACCTCAGCGGGAGGTGATTAAGAGTTGCCAATGGCAGGCTCGACAGGTGAGTGCATTGTAGCACGCTGGCAGCCGTGGCATCTGCACAGGTGACAGCTTCTCCCCACTCAGTGCCGGTGTCAGTGTTGGTGGGTGGCAGGAGGTCTGACAACGTTGTTTTGGTGACAGAACGACTCTGCTGTGAGGTTCACGACATCACTTGCCTTCTTTAGATTTGTCAGTTTATACTGGGAGGTATAGTGCCATGAACTTTAGCTCGTAAACTACTGCCAGGGCGCAGTGCCGTATGGGATGGGTTCTATTTACCAACACGGCCTGGCGTCTCGCTCAAAGAAACTCGATTTTAGTGGCTACCTCAAAGAGGATCCTTCACACAGTCCTGCTTTGGGTTAATTTTAGTGCAATACACTGTAGAGATGAAGCACAGCCTATTACTGCCACCTGGTGCTCAAAGCCTGACACAGTTTTTCTGTCTTTCTTTTTTTCACTTTCTACTAGGAGTGAGGTCATATTTTATTATGGAAACCTTTTTCCTGTATGCAACATGGATACAAAGAGATGTGGAAAGATTATTTTACAACTTTGCCGTTTCTGGCAGAAAGTGTAATAAGCCCGTCTGCTTCTTATGAATGAGATTAGGTAAGCAAGCAAAGGAAGTATGAAAGAGGGTTTGATTTTTTTTTTTTTTTTTTTTTTTTCCAAATGCTTGTCACATGCTCTCCTCGCTTATAGGTTCCATTCATGTTGTTTCAATGCAGTGAGAAACATCACTGTCTGTGAGTGACTTTACAAACATTAAAAAGCCTCTTATTGTGATGGCAACGTTACCCTCTCTGTGGTCCTCCTTGGTTTTGGAAACATCACTGTTTAAAAAGTATTGTAAGAATTTAGCTTTTATGTATGTAAACCTGCTCAGGATTGATGCATTTGGGTCGCACTGAAATACCAGTTAGTTCTAATTTGTTTGCCAGATCAAGTCTTTAACCCTGAATAATTTGTATGAATAAAGCTAAACATTTTTTTTTATATAGAAACAAATTTTCCACAATGACTCTTGTGTTTTAAATCTCTATCATATCAACTACAGTCATGTTTTTTTTTTTAAATCATCTGACTTAAGTGTGACATTATTACCACACTTTCAAATTTGACCACAATAAAAATATGTGAAACTTGAGTTGCTTCTAAATGATTATTGAAAAATGTTCTTGTAATTGCAACACTGTGTAATGTGATTACAGAACATTTTGGGGTTTTTTCAGATAATTACTTTGACTTTTAACCTTATGCTGTTAAATTTGAACATTTTAGTCATGGTTATGGTTTATCATAGTAATATTTTTTCTTTCAGTATTATTTGGAATGGTGTACCAAACTTAGAAAAAAGAGAAAACAAGTACCAGAAAATTAAAATTTAATATAATCCTTTTGAATTGCTCTTTGGTCTTGCAGAGTCTATCTGGGACACACGGCATAATGAAAATCAATGTTAACCTTCCATAACTGCTTTAGCCAATTACCTGTAAACATCACTCACTACTTTGTACTTGGGCTGCCTGTGCTTCAGAATGATTGATCGGTTTAGTCTTATTTGGAGCTCGAGAGGGGGATCCGAGCGAGTGGACGTTTCGATTTCTGCGAGAAACGTGCGCTAATAACACTCTGCAACATTAATTCAGAGAGGCTTTGATGAGAAATCCATTAAGGAAGTATGGGCATGTTGTTTTTAAGATTTCATAGTTTGCATGAGCTTGAGGTAAAAAAAAAAAGGCGGGAGATTTTCAGTTTCAAAATGTTAGAATTGTATTGCTGTTACAAGAAATCCTTATTAAGTCTAAAGATGGTTTTTACAATGTTCTTATGCAGAACATTGGAAAAGTGTTGAATTTGATACAAGTAAAAAAATTGTGTTGGTAGATATTTAGATTTTCATACTTTATTCCCTTCCCCAATACATCAATCAATCCTGATTCCTGATTCAATATTGTAGTAATAGTTGAATATTGACTTAGATATTAAAAGAAAATCATAGGAGAGCCTATATTTTGGCATTCTCTGCTTCGAAAATCTGGAAAAGTCTCATCTCGTCATTTTACTTACATCAAAGGAAACTTTCTCCATTGCCTGCTAATAGCTCTTATAGCATCTCCTTATCTGACACCGTTATTCATTCTCAAGGGCTCATCAACTCACAGTAGACTCATCAGAATTATCACTCCTTCTCTACTTGTCTTTATTATCTAATTCCCCTCCTCTCTCTCTTCGTTTCATCTCTCATTCCCAATCAACCACCTTGTAAGCAAGCCCTTCACCTTCTACCACGAAACTTCTTGCTCAAGAGGGGGTTATTACGGACTTTCCCCGTACTTCTGTGAATAAAAAGAGTTATGTTTGAGTACTGCATATATATCTTTTATGTGAATATATGGATTAAAACGTATATAAATACAAATAAAACATGTGACAAACATGTAAAAGAGACACACAAAACCAAGTACATGTTAAGCACTGAGATGAGTACATTAGTTACATGTTCAAGGAGTTTGTATAAGGCCTTCCTAAGCAAAAGCAACTAGGACCAGGATCCTTTTGTAAACTGGTAGGAAAAAAAGTACACTTCAGGCAAATATTCAGTAATTTTTTTGCATATGTTACAGTGTGTAGTCACCAGTGTCTGATGTAAAAAAAAAAAAAAGAAAAAAAAAAGACAGTAGTTGTTTACATTTCTACTCTCAAATGTCTCCCTTTTTAACACAAGTCTGTTTGTATCCTCTGTATAAAGCAGAGGAAAACAGTGGTTACCCAAAATAAAGTTAAAAGTAGTTGGTTCATTTGCTTCTGAGCAGCATACAGAGTCAGCATCTGCAACAGTCGAAGAATTTCTACAAAGGTGGCACTTGGGTGGGTTTTACTTAGTTTGTCAGCTGATATTTAAGTTACTTGCGCCTCTGCAATTGTCAGACCTGGATTTGAATCCTTAAATTCGTCAGTCAGTCTTTCAGGGCCTTCCCCCCTATTACCAGGAAAAGTTCGACCTGTGCAGTGATTGGACTATACCAAAGATGAAGGGCCCTTATAGGTCATCGGCCTCAGCAGAGCTGAAGCTGCTCCTTCGGCTGCTGTCCTTGGAAGCAGCCCCTGGGGATCCGGCGGACAGGAGCGGATCGGCGCCGAAAGGCGAAAGCGGGTCATCCATCAGGATTTCATCCAGCTGGTTCTCCTCCTTGAGCGTGGCGGTGAAGAAGTCTGTGAAATGGGAGAGCGGGTCGGAGAACGTGGTGCAGGCGTCGGCGCCCTGGATGTGGTCCTGCGGGCCGCTCGCAGTGGCAATGGTCGGCACGCCCGTCACCACGGCTATCCTCTGGAGGTAGTCGCTGTTGGGGTCCTCCTGGTAGACGGGTGGCTGTTGCGCTTGCTGTTGCTGTACCTGCGGTGGGGATTGCTGTTGCTGCTGCTTGAGCAGGTGGGAGGACAGTTCAACCGTCCCCAAGGCAGTGGCCATGTTTGGGAGTCCGTGTGCTCGTGCCTGGATTTCAAGCTCCTGGAAAACAGATGACATCAAACAGGGGTAAGGTTTAATCTCTCCTGACCACATTCATCAACAGCTAGAAGGGAGTAGTACTGAGAAATTCCAGCCACACCTTCATTACCTCCCCTTTCACATACTGATCAAGGGTAGGAAAGGTATCAACACTCATCTCCTGTCTGTGTCATCTCATGACAATCTTACACTTTTTGGCATTGTCTTATTGGTGCAAACAGTGTTTTATTTGCTATTTATAATTTAGGATAAGTTCAAACTTCTGTGCTCCTTATGTCATTGGAAGAAACTTCAGAACCCCCCACCAAAAAAACTAAGGTTTTCCAGTTCTTGTATTTTAGTGCCAGTGTCCTTCATGTGTCCCTGTTCCAACAGGATGAATTCAAACGATGCACCTACAAACTAAGATTGCCGCCTCGTTGTACAGTTTTGGCATATTGTCAGGAAAATGTCTAAAATATACAGCACAATGGTTTTTGAGGGCTCACATTGGACACCAGTCCCCTAAACGCGCCACAATTTTTTGATTTTTATTACCTGGATCCTCAGCAGCAGCCGCCTGTTGGCTTGCTCCAGCTTCTTTTGACGGTTTTCGAGCTCCCGAGCGTGCTGCTGCTCCTTCTGTAGCCACCTTATGTACTCCACCGAGGCCTTCAGGATGGTGCCTTTGTTCCACCGCATGTCACTACAAAACGAACAAAACAAAACAAAACAAAAAACATTGAAAGTAAAGTATAAGTTTCTAAGCAGAAACCCTTGATGTCAGCAGAATACCTTTTTGCAGGAAAAAAATAAATTGGGGAAAACTTTTTAAAAGGTTTTTTTTTCCCCTCCTTTTTATGATATGAATTAGAAATGGAGACTTACATGGAGCAATTATTCATCCTTGGACATTACACGAGGACATGGAATGGGGATTTTTAATAGAATAGTTAAGAAGCTCTGTGGAAAGTCCATTCTTGTACCTCCTTGTTCAGTAAAATTAATCCTCGAGTAAAAATAGGTGAGGGAAAATGAGCTAAGTTGGAAGCCAAGGAAGAAAATGGAACATTGGACTTAAGGTGCTAGAGTGCAAGTCATTCTTTTGCAGGTATTATTACTTTTTTAAAAAGGACAAGGGACCTCAGTAAAATTGTCCTTCTGCACACGACTGAGTCGCCAGTCTGATCGGCGTTAATAATCTCCTTTATCCCTTTGTTAATGGCATGGTGACAATACTAACCTCCCATTTATATTTGAAGCAAAAGTTCAACTGCAAATAGATGGCCGGTGTGCCGTGCTTCATCTGTATGTTCAAATTGAGCTCCAGACTTTGATTCGAATGATGTGAAAGGGTCTTTACATTTAACCCTCTTTCTCATCGCTCGGGTTTTAAGACAAAACAGTCAGCAGCTACTTAGAGAGAGAGGTGGGGGGCTGTACATCTCAAAGTTCAGAGACGACACACAGAAGTTTGAGTGCACCCTTGAAAGATGACTCAAAGGTACTTGAGGACTCATCTCATCACGTCTCTGCTTTGAGTTAATCACTTCAACATACAGTTTTTGCAGCAAACATGAGCTGCAAAGGTTGTTGTTTACTTACGGGTCATTTGACTTTGGAATGAGCGTCCCCAGCTCCTTAATCCTGTAGTTAATGTTGTATCTTCGCCTTCTTTCGACTAAGCAAATTAAGAAAGAGAAGAGTTGATTAGACCCATGATTTCTCCAACTGCGTGGTTTGCTAAATCTGACGGCGACATGCTCAGCGATGGAACAAGCTTCAGATATTCAGTTAGTGTTTAAAACATGTCTGACCCAGTGACATTTTTAAAGTGCTTTGTGAAGTACATGTTGTCATTTGCTAGTAAGGAGGCAAAGGATAAGGGAACGTTTCAGTGAAGTGTGTAGGGCGAGGGGGTAAATACAAATGCCCATCACTGTTCCAAATATTACATACAAAAAGCTTTGAGAACCATTTTGCCTTTTCCTTCCCCCATTACAGTTTGGTAATACTTTGTGGTGGTCTAAATTTCTAACAAAATGTGAAACTTTTGTAGGAATTGGAAAACCTTTTCAAAACACAACAATGTGCAACTGTTCAGATGTGCTAAAAATGTAACTTTAAGTGTAGATATCCTAAAGTCTTATGTGCAAGGAAGCCATGTTGGATTGGGAAGTTGAAGTTGGTGTAAAACCCTCAACTCTTCAATTCAAAGTCCAACTTCTATGTAGAGTTGTGTTAACTAGGAGTGCATTGCCAATTGATATGATTCTATTTCTATGATATTACATTCAAAACTAAATAGTCGGTGTCTTTTTTATACATTGAAACCAGATGACATTATATTAAATTTCATAAAACATCTGTCAAGTTCCCACTACATCGAGATCTGTCAGATGAAATCCCGTTTGTGGTCATAAAATGACGATGCAAAAGCACATGAAATGTCAGTATTTTGTTTGAACTGTAATGACTGTTGACTTTACCAACAACTGAATAATATAGGTAAGGTAGACTTGGTGGTTTCTAAAGTTGCAGTTGGTAAGAAACCCCCAACTTTTCTTCTCAAAGTGCCACCTTGCAGGAACACTTCTTTCAATTTGTCCAACTTTTAACATGAAAACGTCGACGTCTGACTAAAAGTGAAACAGGAAATGCTATCACACCCTTAAACCAAAAGTGAAGTGCCACTGAACCAGAATGTTGCTGGGCTTTTTTTTTTTTGTTTGTTTCTTAACATAACACGGCAACACACACACACAAAAATCGAACTGCAACATTGCTCCCAAGATAGTAATACTTTACAAAATTCTGAGTTTGACAACAACTGGAATAGAAAATTACCAACTGAAGTCAGATGAAAAGAAAAAAGCCAACTAAAGACACTTACTCAAATTATGATTGTCCTTTTTCTGTCTCTCTTTGGCCATAACCCGCGTGTCATGCTCTGTCAAAAAAATAAAAGAAAAAGGAAAATTTAATCACGGAGGGGAACAAATGGATTATCAACGCACACTAATTTAGAAGCTGAAAGACAACAATCAAAAAAACTCCATAAAAGACCCAATCATAAAGTCAAACAATCAGTTTATTCTGAGGAAGTTCAGTGCTGAGGTCAGAACGGGGAGCTATAGCCTCTTCTGCAGACATATATTTGACCTTCTTACACACATACACACACATGCGCACAATGCCCCATTCATCCCCCTTGGCATGCCATGAAGCTCATTGTAAAAGAAAAAAAGAAATAATTGTGACCACTTTTAGAGTACTCATTTCGCAATTAAGATAGTTTAGCCAATTCCATAATCTGTCGCCGGAGAGAGACGAAACAAATGCGGTGGGGTCCATATTTGTATTCACATTCTTCCAAATTACGTAATTAGGAACCTGAGATTGGATTTCTCAATTTGTCTCTGTTGATTCAATCAAGTCAATCTAGCGTCTGTGTAACATCCCATTGTCCTCTGTGCCCGTGTTCAAATGAAGCGGATTCTAATTTGCTTATTTTCCCGTTCAGAATGAAACATTCTCCTGGCATCTTTTCTATTTTCTAAATCAATTAGGCATTTTTTTTAGCTTCATGCTTGAGATTAATATAACATTTCCAAAGGCTCCTCTGTTTGAGTTGGTCCTTATTTTGAATAGTGATAAAAAGCAAGAGTAGCTACTCAAGTAATGTGCGAGCTTAACAACCTGACAGAAATAAACTCGACACACTGCACTTAATTTCAGGACCAAAGATTTGCCAGAATTTGTTTCGTTTTTTCTGGTTTTTCTGGACACCACAGGTTTTGCAAAAATGCAAATTACAATCTGTCCTTCTGCCCAAGGTTTCAAAGAATCCTCGTCGTTTCTTATGCTTTTTTCCCCCTCATCTCACTCTAAGCGACTGGTTGCGAGCTCAGTCCCGTGGTATGAGTCCATACCTGTAAATTCCCTTTTAACAGTGAGCTTTGTGGTGTTAGATGTGGGACTCATTCCACCATTAGGGGGGTTCATACCTTGTTCACCCCCATAGACGTCCAGCATGCTGTTGCTGAGAGAGACCTGCAGCGGGGAGGAAGAAGCACAAGGACGGGTTAGTCGAAGGGGAAAACGCATTTCATATTCACGCGCTCGGCTTTCACGCCTCATCAAAAGCTACAAGACAAATAGTTTTTGGCTGCTGAATGGCTTTGTCTTGCATCCACAGGAACAACAAGAGGCGAGTGGAATGATCTCTGATCAAGCTAACTGTTTATCTTGCAATACAAAGGCAAAAGTCGCTGAAACAGAACGTGTTCATATAACCCTTACTGTTGACCTTGAACCCTGACTTAAAGCATTGGAAATTCCCGCATTTTCTCTCTTTTTTTTTTTTCTAGTATTCCAACCCATTTCACTGTAAAACAACCCACTGTTCCTCATCCTTTGGCATTTGTTATGAAATCCTTGGTGTCACGGATAATTTATGGCAAGATATTTTATGCTCAGGCTTTGAATATGAAACCTAAAAAACTAGGAAGACAACATGGGAAGAAAGGAGGGCTGAAGAGAGGTACAGCTCAGAGAAGGTAATGAAGGAGGCACAAAATAAATAACAGAATGGAATAGCACTAGGATTTGTGAAAAAAATGGAGGCGAGAAGATGCGAGAAAACACCAGGAAGAACAAGCAGGAACTAAATGTAAAATGAAGGAAAGGAGGTGGTTTGAAAAGAAAGAAACGAAGGAGGAAACATTTAGACAGTGGAACAAAGAATAAGTGAAAACACAATTATTCTTGCATACTCATACGTTCTTCTCCCATTCTTATATAGACTTGAAAAATGGTGAAACTAAAATCCACACTTTTCCAGACTCTAGGACTATTCCTAGCTCACCAAAAGCACAATTTGTCCACCTCCATTCATTTAAAACAGGCCCTAAACACTGAGACGCTCTGTGTTCAAAAGCAGCACGCCATCAGATGAAAGGGCTCTCTCGGTCAACTGCATGAACAGAGGCAAAACTGTTTTCCTATGGGGGCCTCTCATCCTCCCGGATAATAACGCCTTTTCACTGAGTCCAGACACGACACGATATACGGCACACTGGAACACGTGTGACTAATTCGCATTTGTGTATTTATGGCAGGAAAATCTCACATAGGGTCACCATGGATTCCAAGAAACGCACAGCCAATTTTAGCAATGACACGTGCGTCAAATGTAACTACCAGTGAGCCGAACGTGGTAAGACTGGATGTCAAGTCGAGAGACAGGATGGGGACTATAAAAGGAAGAGGGAAAACAGAACAGAAGGAAGAAGCACCATCAGATTTGTGCTAAGGTTTTGTAGGTATTGCCCTGCCAAAAATACTAAAAGCTCCTTCTGCCTTTTTTTTTTATTATTTCTATTTTGTCACTTTACAACCACAAATTTGAGTGCATTTTAATGGAATTGTATCCATTAAACCAACTCAAAGTGGTGCATTGATGCATGATTTACATTTTTACATGAAGTAAGTTGAATAATCAGTAAATGTACTCCACTTGTGTTTTACTTAATCTCAGTTCAAATACAGCAGAGAAAATTGTGAACAAACAGCATGAAGAGGTCCAGGCACTGTTGGGAAGAACTTTCGAGAAGGGTTAGTTTAGGCTGTGACACGTATGGCAGAAAAGTAACCCTACAAATCAGCCTGAAAGCTCTAGGCCTACAATATGTTAGTTAGCAGCATCTTCATGTGTGGATGTTTTTCATTGGCAGGGACAGAAAAGCTGTCCTGATTTAATGCAAAGATTATTGGAATGAAATGCAAGACAGTTCTGTAAGAAAACTTTTTGGAGACATCAACGCACTTTAGACTGGACTAAATAAAATATTTAGATTTGCAAACCATGTCTCATTTTCCTTTTACTCAATTAATATTGAGTAAATATTATGCTAATATATTTTTCTTTTAAATTCTGAAAAAAAACATCCATTGAGGTCAATGGTTGAAATATGACTAAAAAGTTCAAGTGGTAGGAATACTGTTATTCAATGTAGATTCCTAAAAATATTGGACAGTTAGAAGAAGAAGAAGAAGAAGTAGGAGGAGGGGGAGGGAGGGGGATAAACACGCATAAGAAAATGAAAAGATTACAACAATTCCCCCTCCCGCTTCTACTGTAATCACTCCAATCCCTCTCCCGTCCGTGTCCCAGAATGTGTTGACAAGGCGAAGCGAAGTGATGCATCATGCTGTATGACTAATTAGGATGAATTGATCCATTTAAGCATGGTATCATTTCTGAACAAGCCCACAGGGAGTGTATGCATTAGCCCGATCCGATGGCTCAGTAACTCTTTCCGACAAATTCCCTCGCTCAAACAAACCGACTCTTCCTTTTCTTCCCTCCTTCCCCTCCTCTGCTCCCTTATCTTCGTCTCCCCCCTAATTCCTTCTGTTTAAGTGCTTTATCTTCCTCTGTGTGCATCTTTTTTTATCTACTCCCATCATTTTTTTATTTATTTTTTTAACCTATTTGTGCTTGTTTGGCGTTGTGTCCCACTACATGTCCTCCAAATAAGTACTTTCTGTTTTAATAAGAATCTAATCTGCTTTGCTCAGCTTATTTGGTGAATTGGTAAATGTCCCTAAGCCTTTGTGAACTTTGACTCGTCTCTTGTCTTAATCTGACCTGAAAGCAGGTCAGGTCCCCCTTTTCCCAAGCTAGTCTAGCTTGCATGAATCCGTGTTTGGGTGGACTAACTTTGCTTTCAAGCTATGCTTCAGCCTTTAAAAGAGAGAAATCATTCGTCAAATAATGTGACCTGAATCTAACCACAGCTTTTGTTAGATTACAACAGAAACGCATGCAAATCATAAGCGGCCTGAAGCATTCAAATCATGGTTAGACCCTGGCCGTTAGAGCAGGACTTAAAGTGATTCATACTTACATTGCTTTGCATTATGATGTTAGGCTCCATGCAATCCAAGCCTCCATCATTGAAGCCGGATTCAAGACTAATTAGGTCATCAATAACTTCATCCATCGGAAACTAAAAGAAAACAGTCATTTCAGTGTATTAAGGGACAGTTTTGGGATGTTAGTGTGCCGTCCACGTCTTCAGAGATCTGCAAATTCAAACCGTGAGTCGGTATAAAAACAGGGAGGCTAATTTAATAACAGTTTGTTTAGCGGCGTTGGCGGGAAATGAACGTTATCTGTTAGCAAACTAGCTAACAGATAACGTTAGCTAGTTAGCTAAATTGATTTTGAACTTCATCAGAGACCACATGTCAGAAGTTATTGATGAGCTTATCAGGGGGAAAAGGGGAAATCAGTGGTGGCAAAACTTTGAATAATTAGTTCCTCTCAGCACCAGGGTTCAAAACCAATTCGGTTCATTGGATATTCATCCCAACAAAGAGCATGCTTTTATGATTTGATAGGATTTACAGCTATTTAATAACATCAATACAGCAGCCACACATTTTGTCGGGAATGTGGGCCGTTGACAGGAAACGTCTCAGGGATATTGTGAAATCTCTGAAAAGTATGACCTTGCTGCTGATCAGCATGCAAACCGACATTCCCTTTTTGTTCTGGTTTCCCTTTCAGGCGAGATTTCAGTTCCATGTATTCCACATAATTTTTCAGTTTCTGTTTTCTTCTCACCTCGCCGTCGTGGTTACCCATTGTCAGCAGGGTGACGGGGCTGTTGGGGCTGCTCCCGTCACTGACGGCGGGCATGTGTCCGTTCCTCATGATCGGCATGGTGGCCAGCGGCTGGCCAGGGGCGTGTGGATGCGGTAAGGTGTGACCGGTTCCGGTCGAAGAGGCCAGCTTGGAGCCCAGCGTCAGGTATTGCTTCACAGGCTGGTTTTGGCTTTGATGAAGGTGGAACTTGGAGTTTTCCAGGTGGCTTTGTACCTGTTGAAACACACAAATAACAACAAAAATAACATGCATTAGTTGAGTTTGTTTCCTATCTGGAATGCTGGATCAAGATGCAAACATTTGCACCTTTTTTTTTTTTTTTGTGACTAAAAACATGTTTTTTTTTTTTTTTTTCATAATTTTTTTGTACTTGGAAGGAATGTACATTACTGCCCGCATTACATTTTAAAATGTGTCATGTTTAGGTGAAGTAATATCTTACTCAAATCTTTTGTGATCTGTTTAATTGTTCCTCTATAACCTGAGTCAAAGTTTCAAAACTATGCACTTATCGTATTTAAGTCACTTAGGTGATTGTAAACTGGGTTTTAGAAACTATTTAAAATTTTTTCCAAAACTTTATCAAGTAACATAAAAACAACTTTCATATTCTTACTTTTGAAGCTCTGGTTGCGTCCCGCATTTTGTAGTAGCTGCAGTCACTTAAGTGTGGCATTCTTAGAAAAGCAGGTGATCCAGTAGGTCAGCTTTAGGGATCCAGGTCTGTTGCTACTCCTGTCAAACTGCTGACTTCCCAGTGACTGGCTGTGCCTTCAGGTCCCCTAGCAGTGTTTTATAAAGGGCCCTAAGTGAACTAATTAGCCCCACAGCTGGATGTAAGCCTTTATGTTGCGTAGCATGATAATCACTTCAAACGGCAGACTGTTAGATCATTCAGGGTTTGATCACTGCAGGACATCTGCCTGTAAGCAGCTATCGCTAATTCATCTAGACCGCCCCTTTTTTCTGTCTGGCTGACCAATCAGTGGTCACTTCCCAAAGTCTTCTACTGCCTGCTTCAGGGGTTGTGGCAGCACAATTGACTCTTGTTTCCCCAGTGGACGGTTTTAAATAACTTCTCTTAATGCCATTTTAAGCAAGCCCTTTTCATTCATTCCCCTGTCTAAGCGTACATAGTTCATCTTTAAAAGTTTCTCATAACATAAGTGCAGTAAAGCTATTTTTAAGTCTTGGTTGCTGCAAAGTGAGAGCTGCTTGCAGAAAATCTCGCTGTAAATGGCTAATTCGCTTACTTGTTCTCACAGAGAACCTCAGTGTTGTAACTTGCTTTATTAGTTAATGGGCTGGCAAGGTATTTTGGTAGGCAACGCGGAGGGACACTTCACAAAGTTATGTCCGATGTTTGGTCTGTTGCCCAAATTTCACTTGCTGCATCTCCGATGAGAAAGACATTTTTTTCCATGACCGACCAAAGTGAATCAATCAGAGCAGGAAAAACGTTTGACAGCAAACCTTACTAGCATAGCAGGAGGGACTTCTGACCTTTCTGTCTACTCGACCTGTTCAGAGGAAGTGAAACCAATATTAAAAAGAAGAGATTTTTGTCTGTTCCTCAAATCATTGTGAAATGTTTAAAGCACCTCACCCAACAGAGGAAATAAGAGAAAAGAGGTTTAGATTTGATGGAAATAACTTTGACGCAGCTGTGGCATGTGTCTAAAATGCTAATGACTAAGATCAAACCGCGACAATGTAGTTACGTTTCATTTTCGAGGGTAACCTTTTTTTATCATTCTGGAGTCTCTTAAAATAATCAGCTTCATTTATCTACAAATGAGATATGAGATATGTCTATGACATAATGAGCAGCAAATGCATTTCGGAGATCTGGTTATTTGACTTTCTCGTTTGTTCCGACAGTCAGTCAAAGAAGTGCCAACTCAGGAAATGTGTACCAAGTGTCATTTAATTACTGAATTGTTTATGCAGGTGCAGAAAATGGCAAATATAATTAAACTACTCTAAAATATGGGTTTTTGCCAATCTTGAATACATTACAATTTTTTTTATGTTTTCCATTGAGCTTAAAAACAAAACTGATTCTTTCAGATGCTGGGTTATTAGCAGCAGCTGAGATGCAGCTCATGTCTTCAGGTGCCTGTTCACATAAAAGCAAAGTCTGACCTGAAAAGCTTCAGATGTTTTGTGGTTTTATACGGGAAGACCATCGGTGATGCACTGCCTCCAGATCTCGTTTCTAGTTTAAATAATCGCCACGCTCTCTCTAAAGAAGTCCATAAAACGAAGAGGCTTCGATTGGAGTCATTTTAAGACAGACGTTTGTTTTGGTCCTTTGTGACGAGTAATTCTCTTAATGCAGTGAGACAAACTAATGTTGTTCTAAATACAATTAGACATAACATTTTAAACTACTAAACTATCCTTCGATGTGAAAAAAAAAGCATTGCTTATTTTTTTAAGCATCCAAAAGCTCCACATTAAAAGCACCCAAATATATTTATTTCCCTTGTGAGCTGGAGTTGCTGGCCTCAGTCACCCCCTAATTCACATAACTAAGAACAAACTCATCACAATACTGAACTTGTCAGTAGTAACTGAGAGCTCTTATATGTCTTTTCCCGGTCAAACAAGATGCTAGTTGTTAGCTAATCAACTTTTTTTTTTTTCTGCAACGGATACCAGGAGAGACGCCAAAGCCGCCACACACCGCATCTGCTGTGTGTGACAGCGTAGTGTCCCGGTTTCACTTCAGCCCTCGCACTACTGTACATTCCGGAGACACGCTTGTTATCCACTTAAGGGGGAGAATCTGATTAGATTCGAGCAGCAATGGCCGTTCAGTCACCAAGGCCGGCCGTGACAATGGCAGGTCTGTGCAAGTGTGAAGCTGGACATGCTAGGGAAAAACTATCAGTGCCTGCCAATGCACAGAGGAAGAGGGACGAGATAAGTATCTAATCAATCAAGGTTGGAGTTTGGGGATTATCGCGGGTGTTTCAGACCATTCCGCTTTACTTACTTTTTTGGAATACGGACGCCAGCACCTGCTCCAACAGTCGAGGCTGTGTTTGCAATTACAAGCAGGACAGAGGTCACAGGTTCACTTTCAGTTTGCACACATTACCTCCATTACAGCTGGCATGCAACCATTTCAGTGCAAATAAATTTTAATGTATTTCAGCAGTCTAATTCATTTTTAATTTTTTTTTTTGTTTTTTTTTTTGCCACTTTGCAGTTTGAAGCTTAACATGTAAACATGCAAATCATGAATCAGTTGCATCTTTCTACTTGATTTTCTTCTGCTAGAGACATTTAAACACCTAAGGAAATGTCTGAATTGATTTTAGTCCTGAATCAATTCATCCAAGCAATCAAACACAACACCAGCTGCAAATCACAACAGCAGTTAAAAAGTACACGACGTGTAACATAAAATAACATTATGTAACTTCTGCAACACACATACAAGAGATCATTGTGTGTTTACCTCAAAGTTAAAGGTTGCATTTCTCGAAGTCCGCTCAGAAATCGTGCACTTAGAAAGAATTTTATAACTGTCATGCTCAAACCTCTCTCCTAATTGAAACGCTCTTGCCAAACCCAGTTTCAGTCTTGCCCAAGTTCTCCTTTCACTTCAGAAAAATCCAACACCTTATGAAACTTTGGGTGATGTTGACATTAGTTAGCTGTACAAACTGTGGGCAAACCAAGTTAAGGACTCATTTCTCCACCGGGGTTGAATCACAGCATTTTACAGAAAACATTTAGACAGCATTCAGTGGTCTTTCCATCTAAAATGAATGAAAGTGGAACAAAAAAAAAAACCTCTTCAGTCATGCTGTATGTTTCTGCTGAGCGTGTTTACCAGTAAATATCTGTAACCACACACCAGATTGTGAAATACGTGGAGAGATAAGAGTGGGAAAGGGAACTCCTCACAGAATCTGCATTCCACGATGTCTGTTCAGTTTTTTGTTTTTTTTTCTTTTTCATACAAATGCATGTCAATCAAAACAAGATCATTCATTACAAAACCTACCACACACCAACTTGTGATGTGGCAATTTAACTCCCTGGACAGAATGTAGGTCATTTGTCCCTACCTGCAGAAGCTGGATATCTGTCAAGGTGATCACTTGGACCACACAGCAGCGGCTCATGGCTCTGCAAAGAGGCAGCGGCTCCCACCAGAGAGGCTGCAGATTTGTACAGTGAAGCAAACCGTCAGTGCCACAGCTCTGTTTCGCACAGACACATGTGGACTGGAAGAGGAAGAAACAGAGAGGTGCAGCGGCCTCCTTCCTGAGCTTTTGCAGAAATATCGGAAAGGAAGGCATGACACATCAGCTTAGTTAGGAGCCTCTTCCTGTGTTTTCTGGGCCGAGAAAGCCCTTACAGAGGCAAAAAAGTACTGATTGCGGCTTTGCTGGTTGAAGAACGTGCATGTGTGAAAGTAAAGTGAGTTGAGAGAATGCGGGTTCCTGCTTGTGGACAGCTCTGCTTTCCGGTCTGCAGAACATCACGTCCGTCTCAGCACTTTTTGCCGGGTTATCTCCGTGACACCGACTTCCTTTGGATAGCCATTGAACCACAGCAGTTGCAGTTGTAACTGGAGAAATGCAGTTTGGAAATCTGTATACGATCAAATAACCTGCACCAATACATATCTGTCCAGGAAAGATGAGGGAGCAACATAAATTCCTTTTTTATCCCAATTTTTTTTTCTATTGCATCAGCAATTGTAAAGATAGGAAGTTATGGATGTATTTAAACATTACATTTTTTTTATAATGCCTTATGGATCCATGGATGTTACTTAAACTGTGGTCATACATGCATTCTAGTGTTTCAGGCCTGCAGCAGTAACTTCTAACAGTGTTTGTCTAGTCTTCTCATTTGGGAAGATCTTCTGCATGTTCAACATTATCAAAGTATAATATGGAAACTGTTAGGCCCTGATTAAAAAACAACATACATGACTCAGTGGAAAGACTTTTCCTTTGGAGTCATGTATTCCTGGTAATTTGTGCTTTTCTTTTTGTTTTGTTTTTTTATCTAATATTTTCTTGCTACATGAATTGAAAAAAATGACAATTGGGGATATATAAATCTTAGTTTATTTGATTAATGACTTCTTGGACCCATGTAATTGTCTGATCTTACATGGGTCTAACTTCATTTAAACTGTAAACACACATGCAGCCTTATTTTTTGTCCCTTTCTTTATGCAAACATGCCCTAAGGTGTGGACTAGTGCACAGTCACCTGCATACTTTTGTGCATCCCTGCCAATTCATAATAGGCAAGGTGATAGTTTTGTGTCTTTATATTGGCATTTGTAATATTTTAAAATGCTTATATGTATTTGATACAGTAATTTGGTCCTTCTGCACAATGAATTTGGATTCTGACTGTTGAATGATAGTGTTGTCCTATGCCGTTCTCGTATGCAAGAAGTGATAGTTACTGATTAATAAAGAAAAAATGTGAAAAATCCTACTATCTATTCATTTTTTTCCTGATTTCTGGTTTCAAAAAAATAGGACTGCACTGTGGCTTTTCAGTAGGAACAGAACCTGAGAGCTGTGTTTTTGTTTAGTTGGCCCAAGGGTGCGTCCAAGGGTGCGTCCATCAACAAAAAGGACTATCCACACCTAAAAGGCATTTCTGTTTCAATTATTACTGCAAATGGTATCTGGGCATTCCATATTTTGTGATAGTCCGTGATAAAACCATCAGGATTAACTTGAGGACATCGAATGCAATAAGAGCAAATTGAATCAAAATGATTCAGTTGAATCTAAACTGTGGTGCTTTAAGAGGAAGTTGCCTTTCTGCTGTTAAATTGCAGTTTGTCCTGGGCGTGCTTGTAGAGGGTGATCTGATTACATAGAGAATGCCTGTCTTGATACAACTGTATATTTAGTCATCTTTGCTAGGCTAAGTGAGATACTTCAGCATTATTTATGCAGCTGTGTCTAAATTATTTCACCGTAATTTCACACACGCTC